GGTAGTTTCAATGCAGTTCAAATTTTGGAGGGGGGGGAGCATCTGCGAGACCTAAATTTTGTACAAGTGTGATAAGCGTGATGTTTGTTTATTTTCAGTGTGGGTTTTTTGTTAAAGCATGCTGAATTAGGCTTGGCTAGTGTCACTAGTCCCTGATGGTGGGGGAAATTGTGTTCTGGTGGGAAATAGGGCTTGCAGGAATATGGAAAGGCTGGTTGGTGAAGGATGCCATGGTGCCATCCATAATACAGTTTCTGTAGCTTTAGTTGAAGACTAATTTATTTCTGGTTGCAGGGAAGAATACGTATTCTGTTGTTGTGCTTTCCACTAGCCAGACTTCCTGGGTTTGACAAAACTAGCCGCAGACAAACTTTTCCATTTTAGGGAGTGCACGCTTGATGCAGATTTTTTTTTTAACATGTAGATCTGTTCTGTTGCTGAGTTCATAGAATTGTTTAGGTTGGAAAAGACCTTTAAGATCATCAAGTCCAACCGTTAACCTAGCACTGCCAGCTCCACCACTAAATCATGTCCCTAAGCACCACATCTACACATCTTTTAAATACTTCCAGGGACGGTGACTCAACCACTTTCCTGGGCAGCCTGTTCCAATGATTGACAACCCTTTCGGTGAAGAAATTTTTCCTAATATCCAATCTAAACCTCCCCTGGCACAACTTGAGGCCATTTCCTCTTCTTCTATCCCTTGTTACTTGGGAGAAGAGATGGACCTCCCACCTGGCTACAACCTCCTTTCAGGTAATTGCAGGGAGCGATAAGGTCTCCCCTCAACCTCCTTTTCTCCAGGGTAAACAACCCCAGTTCCCTCAGCTGCTTCTCATCAGACTTGTGCTCTAGACCCTTCACCAGCTTCATTGCTCCTCTTTGGACACGCTCCAGCACCTCAATGTCTTTCTTGTAGTGAGGGGCCCAAAGCTGAACACAGTACTCAAGGTGCGGCCTCAGCTGTGCTGAGTACAGGGGGATGATCACTTCCCTAGTCCTGCTGGCCACATTATTTCTGAAACAAAGAAATATAGACTAGTTATAACTAGTCATGATCTGAAAAGTGGATGGAAGAAATAAGTGCTTTTCTGACTTTCATCTGAGAATGCAGACACTCCCTAAGGGCTATATGGAAGATGCTGAAGCTTGTGGGAAATCAAAGTTGATGTTTCAGATAACTCTGCATAAGAAGTGGTGGATAAATTTGTGGGGAAAAAAAATAGTGGTAAAAAAGAATGAAAATCTGCGGCTTGATACATAATCAAGCTATCCCAGCATGATTTAGACCTTAAGTTTAATTCCAAGACATCTAATTTTCTTGAATCTCACTTACGTGATAGGCATTCTGCGTTTAAGGACAAAAGAAATAATGATATTTAATGTCTCCAATTTACAGTTGCATCATTACACAAACATTATTTTCTATTTTAATTCAACAATGTAGATCTTTTATCAAGCGTGTGGAACATAGTTAATTGACTATAGCAGGAGTTACGCTATCATTAGGTAATTATTTGAAAGGCTTTGTCTTTAAATGCGAATGTCTGAAATCTCTTTCATGTTTTAGGATTTTTTTCAGTAGAACCATGTCAATCTTAACAGCTGCTTAATTTGTTTATTCTCTAATCCTATTTTTTGTAAATATCAGCATTGTTCTGCAAATCATTTCCTTCAAAACAGAGCATCTTTGTTTCATATCCTAATGACAGAGTAGTCTAAGTGATGCAGTTGGCCCATGTCCTTTTTCTGGTTCTTTGAGGAAGCATGATTACATAGAAGATCAGATCTAGCAATCTTAGTGTGCACATCAAGTGGTCGTGATGAAAACAAAATAATAATAAAGATTTGCAAAATATGCTTTCATAAAGTGTAAAGTTTTAAATTCTGAAACTGCTTTGCAAGAAAGATGGCTGCCAGATCATCTTAGCGTGATGTGCTGTGGTATCACTCAAAGCAGTTCTGTAGATTTTCCTCTGTTGGAGGTGACTGCATAATGAAAAGCAGCCTGCAGGAAATTAATAAACTGCAGTGTGCTAAAATGCACAAAAGTATTTAAAATTTACTACTTTTAAAAAGAGATGGGTTGTTTTTATCCATGATAATCAAGATATATTAGTCTGTAATGGCACAGAGCAAGAAGGGAAATAAGAAGTATTAGAAGAGAAGGCAAAAAGGTCTGAGTTTGCATTTTAAAATAGAAATAACTTTTTCACAAATGCATTAGAGAAACTAGGGACCATTAAGAAATGATGAAGAAGATAAAATTATTAATCACAAAGATACTAAGTGCCTTTCTTCAAATCCTATTTCTATTTAGCAGAAATAGTCTGTGTGTGCTCCTGCATGATAAGAGTGTAATGGATGTAAGTAAAAAGAGAACTCCAATGGAACAAATGAAATGCTCCTTGGAAACTCTGCCTACAAATAAATCAACAAGTCCAAACAGTTGTCACCAAAGTGTATCAAGGGAACTAGCAAACTAATTTGCAGTAACAGTGACACTAACTAGAGCCAGAGAAGTGTCTGAAGACTGGGGAAGAGCATGAGCAGCTTTTAGGAGAGAACTCGAGTGCATCGTCTATTTGGTGGAATATATAATGGAATAAATTTATGGAAATCAATAAATGTCTGGAAGGTAATGAAACTGTAAGCAAAAGCATTTACAGGCTTCTAGCAAATTAATCTTGCCAAACTTCCTTTGTTTTGCTTTCCTGAATAGTAGTGTACCATTAAAGAGAAAGCAGCACCGTCCCAAGTTCAAAATAGTTCAGAGTCTAACAATTCCAAATAATAAAGTTGGATGGCTGAATACATACCAACCTTCCTTGAATTTTCACCTTCACTTAAACAAACAGATTTGACTCATTAACTTTCTATTTGGGACAGTCTGCAATTTGGAGACAAAGTAAAATACACCCCATTGGCTTTCTGCTCGAGGAAAGAATCTGTATCAAGAGAAGCTGGTCTTTCACGTAGCTGTATCAGTCTGTTAGAAAGCTGGTAATTTTCATGAGAGCTCATAATTAGTGCCTTTTTATATGGGGATGCTCTACTTAGGAGAATCTGTGGAAAGATATAATCTGGGAGTGTAATGTGTTTCTAGACAGATAACTGTAAGAGTGCAAAATCTACAGAATTCTCAGCGGGTTCTAGTGTTTGACTATGTGGAAAAAGATACATAGGCTGGAGCAATTCAGTATAGCTGCTAATAAGAAGCAAAACTTTCTGGTTTACCTCTGCAAAGGTGTGAGAGAAAGTTTTTATTCCCTTCATTTGCTTTTTCAAAAATATGTGCAGGAAATGAGCATTTAAGTCTGAGCTGCATCCCATATTCAGTCAAAACCTACCTTGTTTAAGAAGAATGCTAAATTTCAGTGCAACTTCATTTTTTTTGGAAACTGGCAGTTTTAACAAGCTTATTAGATGTAAATTTCAGCAAAGGGAAGTGGATTGTCAAAAGGGAACTCAAGATGGGTCATATGTTGATTTTTATTTTTAAATTTTTTTAAACAGAAAGCCATTGGGGTGGACAAGGAAGGAGAAAGAACTGAAATTCATACTAATTCTCTGTTGAATAAAAAGAGACAGTGCAATATTCCATATAATGGGGGCAGACTTCTACAACAGAAGCAAATGAGCCTTGTAAATCTGTACCTGGCTAGCTGCATTATCTGCTGTGTATTAGCAATCTTAAACTCCCATAGCTCTTTATTTAGAGTAGAATTTTTGGAACCTAAAACTCCTTCAGCTTTGAAGCATTCAGTATATCCAGTAAATGAGTACTTTTCATTTTAAGCACTGCATGTGGCATACTTATTTTTTCAGGGTTTGCTATCTTGCTTTTGTCTGTGTTGCCAATCATTTTGGTTTTTGTGTTCCTGCACGTTGCTGTTTTTTGACTCTGTAATATTTTTATAAGTATTCAGCAAGTGATAATAGCTGTAAGTCACAGTTGAGTATGCCTGCCTATTGGCTTTAGTTTTCCCACAGCAAGACTTCATGGCCTGATATGCTGAAATACGAGCTTGCATACAGTTTCCTTGCTGAGGAGAAGAATAATGGACTGCAAAACACATTCTGTTGCTATTAGCTTTTCAAGTGGATTGAGCTATTCATTGGAAAAAGAGTGTGCTACAGCAATTAAGTTCATCCCTATGCTCTGTCAGCTTGCCATTTCCAAAAATGAGATGGACGTCTGTTTTGCAAAGAAGCTAATGTTTTGTTGATGGTAGAAATTATTACCTAAAACTGAAGCTGGAAAAGTGCACAGAGTGGAGGTTTGGAGCACAGTATGAGACTGTAAAGGAATTTTTTACTGTAGGTATTAAGTCCCTTATGACTGTGTCATACGCTGAACAGGTTGAAGCACTCTTCATGGCAAATGGGAAGGCAGAAAATATTTCGCTTCACACTGCTGCTTATTTTATGTGTAGATAGAACATCACTGCTGAGACAGGGGTGGTCAGTGAAAGACGTTACTCATTTCAAAACAGTTTTATGAACACTGTGCATCAAACACTGCTTTTCAGCATTTAATGTTTGTAGATACTTTGTCTCTTAAACGAGCATCTCTGTATAAATGTGATGTCAGATAGGGAGCTTTAAGTCCAAGTGAGTATTTTGTTACTCTTGGAGGAGAAAGGGTAATACCTACCATTCAGACTATGTGGAACTAGTAGAGTCAGTATGGCAGAGTGTCTTTTGAAGATGAAAAGGAAAATACATATCAGAGGACCTTATTTTGCCCTTCAGGTTACCGAAGACATTTTTCAGCTTAAGCATATCTTTCTGTTAGTTTTCCCCAAAATATTACCATGAAAATGTGGTGGAGTATCTTCAGTCTGGGCGCTTTGGGAGAGCATTGCTTTTCAAGTTGAGGAAATTCACGCTACCAAAATGCAGTTGTCAGTGCCATAGGTATTCTTTGGGTGTAGAAAGTGAATAGTTGTTCTGTTCTTCATTACATTTTAATGTATACACTGAATGTTTTTCAGGAACTCCAGGAAAGAACTTAATGACATACGGTTTGAGTTTACTCCAGGCAGAGGTAAGGCTCCTTCAATTGACTTATTCTCTTATTGCTCAAAAAGTATTTCAGAAATTGATTACTGCTTATGGTTAATACAAACTACCTCTCTGAAATGTTTTCTACTGTGCAGAGCTTTATATTGGACTTACTTGAACAAGAATAGTAGATGTATGTAGATTCTAGTGGCAAGGTTGCATAATATATAGTATGTATTAGAAGACTTGATCCACGGTATACTTACCAATTTCCTGTCTTACTGAAATGATTTATGCGGTATATAAGATCTTGTATAGCAATATTAACAGCTTTGGAATTTTCATTTTCACATTGGGAAAACATCGTAGGAAACAGAACGTAGTAGCCATAAAGGTTTATGTGGTGATGGTGGTAATTGAGTTTCTTTACCCTTTGTAATAAAATAAGTTCTGTTAACAAGTATGAAGTGCACACCATTTTTCAAATGCTGTCTTCAAATGAAAGTTGATTTGTATCTCTAGCTTTGGTATCATCACCAGAAAGAAATTCTGGTATTGAAACTTTAAACTCTACTGTATGCTTGTAGAACTGTATTGGCTTTCCAGTGCCAAGAGTTGTAAGAACTTGTGAAACTTACTTTTGTTTGAAGAAAACGAAGTCTTACTGGGATAAAATGTACAGGAGGCTGATATGTTGAGCAAGAAGGTATCATCCTTGTTAAACAGCAACCCTTTGAACTATGAACACATTACATATTTCTCAGAAGTCAGTATTCACTATATTTAGAATAGCCTTCAAAGAGCTTCCACCTAAAAATGAATTGAGATTGGAAGAAGTGTCTCTTTTCCTGTAAATCATAATGTCTTTCATGTGCAGTAGTTCTGTGCATGGATATACTCTCTGTTGTCTACCTGCATTTCTCATTGATTTTTGGCAATGGGCAATAAGAAAAGAGATCTGTTACTTAATTGGGCACAGAGCATCCTTAGTCACTTGTCAAAAGAATTCCTTAAATACTCTCTAATCAGTTACATAAGCCATTTGAGAATTCTTACTTGGTCAAAAAGTAGAGAATATGACATAGTAAAGTACACCAGGACTGTTCCTAGTCAACAGTTACTGAGACAGCAAGGAGGCAGCTATGGTTCTCATCTTTGGAGCTCTCCAGAAATTGCTGCTAGTTCAGCTGTATTGTTTTTCACCTGTGTTTCTTGAGGAAATGATACAATTGTGTAACTGCTTCAAAGCATGTGCTGTATGCAGATATTTGGTGTTGAGGCCATATTACACTTGAGACTTAGCTGGAATTCAGGCTTGTTCCTGCTGTTTCCTCCTATTTACCTCTAAGCCTTCTAAAGACTTTATCCAGGAGCAAGTACTAGTCACAGGGACTTAGGAATTAACGCACTTGGGTACAGCAATTGATGAAAAGTGAACCAAAGCTCTGCGTTTTCTGGGTCACAGTACTTAAAAGCTATTTTAAGCCTAAAGCTAAAAATAATGACTGTTCATGTAACTCCTTTGCCCCACTGGTAACAAACAAGAAAGCCTGTATAGCACATCTCTATCTAGATATGCAGAACAATGGAGGGGATAAAGGAAACAGTAAAAGTACCACCAAACCATAGTTTATTTTCTTGGCTGTGAAGATACTGAACTTGTAAACTGTGTAGGAGTACGTAGTTAGATAATAGAGGAGAAATACTAGTGGCCAGGAAAGGTCTGTAGGGGTTTGCAGTGAATCAAATCCATCACCTCACGCGATTTGCTGTGCAGAGGCTGATAAGATAATTATTTTTTTTCCTCCTAATTAAAGGTAATTTTGAATTCAAGTATGCCTCCATGGGTGTTTTGGAACTCAAATATATTTTTGTTAAATTGCATTGGATGACTGATACTTTTTGCTGTTTTTGTGGGCGGGCTCTCATACTTATTTGTTTCACTTTTGGACAGACACAGCAGATGGCGTTTCTCAGGAGCTGTTCTCTGCAGGCCTGGTTGATGGCCATGATGTAGTTATAGGTAAATTACATTTTTGTTTGCAATTACGCTCTTGTGACAAGTTCATGTTAAATGGATGTGAAAAATGTTTTCTCTAATGCTGGTTTTCACAAAATCCTTTCTGTCCTAATTTTGCTTTCATGTATGCGTAGTGCAATCAACAAGCCAATTTTGATACCAGTCCAAGGATTGCTTTTGGAAGTCAGAACTCTTTAGTGGTTTGAGATGGATGATATAATATAGATCTCCTGAAGGATTATTTACAACTCAATGATTGATCATTTTTGTGCTTACTTAATTTTTTTTTTTTTTAACAATAAAATGATTTTTCGGTAGGATTTTGCAAAGTGTGCTTTGGCAGCTCTGAAGTTGGTAAGTATTCTGCTTGGGGTCATGAAGTAGAAGCAAGCCAGAATTCAGGATCTATGGAAATTGCACCTAGAGCTATTATTTCTATGGTAAAAGAAGATAATTGGAAATGTTTTCTGGCTGCTGAGAGAAAAGATACTTTTCTATTTTTCTATTCTGTGCTTCAATAATTATTTATTTTTTTAAAATGAAATTCAATGCCTGGCAAAGATGATTAATTTGGAAGTGCTTATTTCCTTGAAGTTTCTTCTCTTCTTCTGGTTGCTCAAGACCAGTAGATATATAGTTAACAAAATCAGAGGGGGGCTAGTAGATGCTGAATGTGTGGGAAATGAATTGAGGAATACTGGCAAATCAATCTTTGTGTTGCAGTCAAAGAAGTTATATCAATTGGCTCAGATATCATTACCAAAATCCTCAATGATATGGAGAGTGTTTTACAAATCTGTAAGTTCATGTGACTTTCCTGGAAGATTATCTAAATACATTGTCAGTGGGTTGTGGGATATCTAAAGTATTTCAGAGAGAAGCCAATACATTTTGCTTTTGTATGTTTGGAACACAGGTTGATTCTAACTGATACAAGAAACAAAAGGCTTACCTATGCTTTTAATTAATTTCTAAAGGAAAAAGTATTTAGGGGAGGTTAGCAGATGGTACAGGCTAGGAGGCACTCTTCTCTTAAAGTCACTTCTACTGTGCTGTTATTATAAGGGTTCAGAGGAGAGGGGTAGCTTGGCCTTAGTTTGTTGCCTTTTAAACATCCGGTATGAAAAATACCATACTGCTGCTGATGTTTTTGTTAGAATTTTCATTGCCACAAGATACCTTAATTCATTTAGAAATAATAAATAAATCATTTTTTTCTGGCTAAGAGAATCTTGTTATCTGTTGGCTACCCCACCTGCCTGGGCAGTCAGCTGGCACTCGGTGTTGCCCTGAAGTCAGAGTCATGGCTGGCAATGCTGCAGTGCAAGTCCTACTGGCACCCAGTGAGACCGCTTTTCCATTCTTCCCTCTTCCCTTTTCCTTTGCTCCAAAGTTCTCTTCCAATGCAAAGTGCCAGTGCACTTGTATATAATTGAAAGCATTCAACTTAAATTTAATTCCATTAATTATAATCAGTTTATATGTTCATTTTTCTGTGATGTTTTAACTTAGCTCAAGTTCCACAGGTACATTCTTGCATGACTTTGTACTATAATTTTCACTTGTCTGCTTTGCCCATGAAGTTGTTCAAGTTTTCAAATATATTTGGACATAGTTATCTTCCTAGAAAATTACTTTAGATTTCATGTTTTACTGAAACACAAGTTCTGCTAAATGTGATTTTTTTACTTTTAATTAAAAAAAAATTGAAGTTGAACTTAAGGTAGAATATGCTTGTGATTTGCTTTGGTAAAACTGGCTAAATGTTGTATGGGCATGGAATTAAAACTTGCGTGCAAGCAGATTATTGCAAATTTCAGAATTTCCCTGTAGCAATGCAGTCCTAAGAAATATTTTAGTCCCTTAATTTGAAGCAATAGGTCATATAAGAGAGCAGATGGTGCTGAAAGTATAAATCTGCTTACAAAACTAATTTGCTGTGTAAAATGATTTTGCCACCTTGTTCACTCAAAATTAAAAGGTGTAAAATCTTCCTATATAGGAAGAGGGGAATAGTATAGAAGAGCTTGGTTAACCTTCTTCACCGGAAGAACTGATTCCATTAGCTTCCAGACTGAAAGCAGCTGATAAATTACCTGTCACTTTTCAGCTGAAGCATGCAGAAATTCAGCCTCTGTAACATGAATGAAAACAAAGTTCTGAGGTAGTCTCATAAGAGTTGTTTCTGTAGTTTCTTTTAATAGATGTTGGAATGTGTGGAGGCTGGGAGAAAAAAGAAAGATGAAAATACCTGTGCTTATATTGAACTCAACAATTTGTTGGTGCAACAGCTGATTTTCTGAAAGGAAAATTTCTTGCATAGGAGTCAGCAAAAGCTGCTGTGGAAGGTATGGCCATGGCATACGTGAGCTGAAGCTGTTAGTGGGGACCAGCTAATGTGTAAGTTTTATAGAATTTGCTGCTAAGCATCAACACGTGGCACCTTTTGAGTCTTGCTGGATTTGCTTCACTTAACACAGGCTTCCGAGGAAGATTTCCATTCTGATAAGCAATAAGTTCAGCTACCTCTTCTGCAGAGAAGCAAAAATCCCTTCTTGTATGTTTGGTTCTAGCTATGATTGACTGGTTTCTGTTCTTATTGACAGTGGCATTGTTTCACAGGAGGTGCCTAGATCAAGGGAATCACTGCAGAGAATTTCGTTTAAAAGCAGACTAGAGTTTGCGTTTGCAAAGGGGAATGAGTCTTGGAACTTACATGTAGGCATTGGTATCTAGTGGATGAGGCATTTTTATGCACTACCAAAATAGCTATGTTAAATCATACAAAAGATCTGGAATATTTTCAAAATACATTTGAAGTTGAAATATGTCTCCATGTGTATATGAACTATATGTATATTAGCTAGTAAACACTCATCTAGTAATGCTTTATTATATTTTTGATGACATAAAGGAAACTCAAATCATATCAACAGTCAGTTCGGTTGAAAATCATGCAGTTGCAGTCCTACTTCACTGGTGTATACAATGCGCATATAATTTTGGCAAAGCCTTAGGCTATAGTTAATCTTTAGAGGCCTTGCTTAAATTTCAGAACCTAAAAGTGTATTTGCAGTTACTAAATTGCAGTACATATAAAAAACCCAACCTTCCCTTCCTGAATACTGCTTGAATAAAAACCTTGATACCCATGCCATCGAGAAAAGTGCAGGTATCCTTTACTATATCAATGTACCTTTATTTTAGGTATTTTTGTCAAAAAGTATCTGTGAATACCTTGAGCATCATGGAAGATGTACCTTCACTTTTAAATACACCAGACATTAACTGCTGGTAAATGGGTATCTGTCTTTGATGTTGGAGCCAGGCCCAAGTATCCACTTAGTAACTGGAGGAAGAGCTTTTAGTCAGTCAAAACAAAAGCTTCCTGCCAAAAGGCCTAATGTCTTTAGAAGAACCAGCTGAAAACCCAATAGATCAGATTTTGAAATGAGATCATCTTTTGAAAGTAGCAAGCTTTTTCATCATCATCTTGAATATTTTCTTAGAAGTGTGAATATAATACATGCCGTAAGAGTTTGACTAAGGGGTTTGGGGCTGTTGGATTTTTTTTTTTTTTTTTTTTTTTTTGTGGAGGGGGAGTGTGTATTGGTGCAGTTACTGTGGTAAGTAGACAGGACTTAAATTGTCATCTAGAACTAAAAAAAAAAAAAGTCATAGCTGTGGATGGGTTATCTGACCAAAACCAGAATGACATTATTTCAAGGTATGTTAAACACTAAGTAATACGTATGGTTCCCAACTAATCACAATATTAAAGCATTTGAAATTGAAACAGCTGACTGTCTTTACAGTATCGTGTCTGCTGATGCTGAAGGTACTTTCATACTAAATTGGAAAGATGAAAAAGCAGAAGCCCAGTTTGTTAGTATACTGTCTGTAACAATGCCTTAACTCACAGTGGCACTGATAATCCAATTCTTAGGAAAGCCACAGAATTACACCATGAATATCCTTTTGCTTTCCTTGGTTTTGCTCTGCGTTTGCGTATACCTAGTTTACTTTGCTGTCTTGTTAGATTAATCATGTTTGATACCAAATGAAGTGGTGCCTTTTGTTCAACTAATTCAGGCTTATCATCTTACTGTAATCGGAAAATGTGATACTGCTGCACGAGTGGAAAACATATCACATTAATTTATGTCCTCAAGGACCTCTAATGTTGCTATAGGTAGGTGACTTGGATAGCACAACCATTTGAAGGCAGCATAGGTTTGTCCTTTAATTAATATCAGTAATGTTTTGAGATGCACTGATTTTTTTTTATAATCTTTGAGGGAATTTTTCAGAAGTTTGTTTTTTTCTTGTGGTTCAAACTGAGTGAAATAACTGAATTTTTAGATAAGTGTATCATGGTTTTAAATATTCCAAAGCTCATGAACTTTCTAATGAGAAAATGCCTTTATCGACCCTAACAATGAATTTCAAACAATAGACTAAATATTTTGTGTTTACTTTTTAATGCATTATCCAGAAAGGAAATTTACAGAGTTAATGAAAACCCGACTGTATTTCAAGGCATTTTGTAGAAACTCTTGTGCCTTCAACGTGTGCGCATAACTCCATTTCTCTTTAGCAAGATATGCACATCCATTACAGATAGGAGAATATGTCTAAAATCCCCAGGGTTTAACTAAGGACTTAAATATTTCAACACATCTGGCTCATTTAGAGCTAATGCATTGAAGGGTGACTCATAATGACTAGACTGCTGGGAGTTCTGGAAGCTTGAGGTACACCCTCAGGTAATCAAGCTTTGCATCTAATTGCACCTTCAAAGTTATTTTAGTTGTAGGTAAAAGGTGCATTTGAGAATGTATATTGTGTGCAAGTGGCTGGTTCATGCAAAGTTCCCACCTTTCTGAATTTTCAGTGTGATGGAAACTTAGAGGTTCAAGGTGAAAAAAATAATATTGTGTTAGGTGAATAATCATCACTGCTGTAATGGTGGTTGTGGCAGAACTATAAATATGTGATGTAAGAAATTCTCCAAGTGTGCAAATTATTCTCTACACATATATTTGTATTCATGTATCATAGTAAATGTGCTTATCTTACAGCCATGATCAAGTAAATAATAATTTTTGGTCACTTAAAAAAAAAAAAAGGTGGAAATGGCAGTTACCTTTGAAGAAAGTTCCTTTTTTTCCAACAGTTCCTACTTAATTGTGTAAATGAGCAATAAATCCATCTGTTTATTAGTGGGATTAGTATGGGTTTTACCTGATACAGGAGGTGATAAACTCTAAGGCCTGAAGTGTGTTCTCTGCCCTTGTAGGTCTGAATTGTAGTTTTGACGTCTTTACTTTCTAGTTGTTGGGTTATTTTTTAAAAAAAAAACACAATTGTGAATTTGAATCAGAAATTGCAAAGACAGCAATGTAAGTAATATTCCTCTTTTCAATAATAATTGAGTTGCTCTTATTTGTTTGCTTGGCATTCGCTTCTCTGCAAGTGGTTAGTATGTCAAAATAAGGATTTATTGAGGCTCTTCAACCCAGAGGTAGTCTATTTCAGAACCTGACTTCTGCACATCAGGGAGTCTTTTCTAAATATATCTTTCCTTGTTTCAAGTTTCAGATATAAGGTATTGAAGTAGCCTGGCTGCTATTTCATCTTCTTAATAGTTTTGTCAGAACAATATGTATAATTCATAGCAGAACTCAGGACAGGAGGAGGTGTGAAGATCTGATGGGGAGAGGAGATTACCAGTAATAATATGCATAGCAGAATGTGACCTGCCTTATTTCTGCATAGACCTACATTTCAACTCTAAT